TTTTTGTATTTTTAGTAGAGACGGGGTTTCACCATGTTGACCAGGATGGTCTCGATCTCTTGACCTCGTGATCCACCCGCCTCGGCCTCCCAAAGTGCTGGGATTACAGGCTTGAGCCACTGTGCCCGGCCATTTTTTTGTATTTTTAATATTTTTTTGTATTTTTGTATTTTTAGTATTTCACCATCTTGGCCAGGCTAGTCTTGAACTCCTGATCTCATGATCCACCCACCTTGGCCTTGCAAAGTGCTGGGATTACAGGCATGAGCCACTGTGCCCACCCCTAATTTTTTATTTTTTTTGAGACTGAGTCTTGCTTTGCTGCCCAGGCTAGAATGCAATGGCATGATCTGGGCTCACTGCAACCTCCACCTCCTGTGTTCAAGCAATTTTCCTGCTTTAGCCTCCTGAGTAGCTGGAATTACAGGTGCATGCCATCACGCCCAGCTAATTTTTGTATTTTTAGTAGAGACAGGGTTTCACCATGTTGGCCCGGCTGGTCTTGAACTCCTTACCTCAAGTGATCCCTCTGGCTTGGCCTCCCAAAGTGCTGGGATTACAGGCATAAGCCACCATGCCTGGCCAGCTTTTATAGTTTTTCACAGCATTATAAAAATGAAATATGGGTAATTACTAAAATATGTAGCCTAACTCCCTCTAACCAAACAACCACTGGTTAAAATGTATTTATTTCTTCCAGTATTTTTATTCTGTGATATAGCAGGGATTTTCTTTCTTTCGGTTATTGGTGTGGAGTTACCCAAACATTATACTGAGTTAGTATAACATTTTGACTTGTACAACTTGGCATTTTGTATCTTGATTTGAAATTTAGTATTATATTAAAACTAGAAGCTTTGTTTATGGTTCTCCCTTCTACTTAGTATCTTGCATCCTCCAAATAAAGAGAAAATGAGAAAAAGAGCAAGAGAGTGCTTTTCAGATACCTTATCAGCAGGGGTCAGTTTGGTCCAAGGTTTGTCGGCTCGCCGGTCATAATCTTGAGCATCTGTTACCTCTACATATTCATTAAACCTCAGAATCTTCCTGGCAAGGAGTTCAGCCACAGTTGGCCTTTGACTGAGCTGAAGGAAATGGAGCCTCTTAGTTCACTAAGCCAAGAATTAGGCATCAATCATGCATTCAAATTGCCTCTAACCCAGTGCTTCAACCTTCACTGGAATCACCTGGGGGAGGAGCTTTAAACACTACTGATACCCGGAGATTTTGGTTATCAGGTGGTTTTTTTTTTGAGACAGGGTCTTGCCTTGTTGCCTAGGCTGGAGTGCAGTGGCACCAGCCACCACACCCAGCTAATTTTTTTTTTTTTTTTGAGATGGAGTTTCGCTCTTGTTACCCAGGCTGGAGCGCAATGGCGCGATCTCGGCTCACCACAGCCTCCGTCTCCTGGGTTCAGGCAATTCTCCTGCCTCAGCTTCCTGAGTAGCTGGGA